CTTTGGTTTTTGGCTGAGTTTATTTCTGGTTGGTTGGGTTTTGTTTTTTTTTGAAATGCTAATTTTGCTCAACTGGAAAGTGTTGTTTCCTTTAGATCCTTTCAGATTAGTAAAAAATTCCTTTGAAGAGCCAGAGATAGCATCAGCAAAGCCATACTTTAACCAGGCAAGGCTTTTTCCCTGGGAGGTCCTTGGTTGCTCCTTGGGTGAGAACAGCAGCTGGCATCTGTCATGCCATGCCATGTCCCTGGGAATGGCCAGCTTGGTCTGTCAAGGGCTTTATAGAAGCCAGAGCACCTGATTTGTGCCAAACTGCTGGTGTGCAAACCCAGCAGCCTTGTAGCAAGGTGTGGGGCAAATAGCAAAGGAATTAACTGTTTCGATGGAAAAACCAGTGGGACACCAGTCTGTGTCCCATTACAGCACTTGGTGAGGAACCAATCTGTAATCAGAGGCCTTTGGGTTGAAGTTTTGGGTTTGGAGGAAATACACCCAAATTGGCATTCTGAGGCAGCGACTTCCTTAACCAGAGGATTTTAACACCCCTGGGTAATGAGGCTTCTCAGAGGACAAAATAAGTGGATCAGAGAATAGGGGTGGCACTTCCCAAGCTGGCAGTGCTGCAGCTGGATGTGGGATGCAGTTCACTTGGGAATAACGCCCTGCCCTGTGAAAAAATGTCCTTTTAGTTGAATGGGTGAGTTTGAAAAGAGTATCTTGTTTCTGTTTTTCTCTTTTATGGAAAGCTTCACTCTTCCAGGTTAAAATGAGGGATTAAACACTTGCTTTGGACTGGGTGTGTGATTGCACATCCCCTGTGAGGGAGTGAGTTGCCATTCCAGTGTGGCACTGTGTTTTCCTCTGCTCTGGCCTTTGGAGAAGTGCCAGGTATTCAGAACCACCCCTGAGGAAATCCAGGTGTTTCTCCGAGGATCTAAAGGTCAACCACAGTGTTGGATCAGGAGGAGCAGAAGGCTGGACACTTCCTGCAGCCCAGGGAAGCACATGTGATGAGCAAAAGTGGTGGATTTTATCCACTGACAAAGATTAGATGGGAACTGCAGGAGCTGCTCGTGTGGCTTGGCCAACAGGAGTGTCCAGGCGTGGAGTGAAGACTCCCTTCACCCACAGCCAGAGATCCCATGTCCTAGTGGACCTCCAGAACGTGTGGGGATCCCAGTGCTGTTCCTGCCACCCTTTTTTACAGGTTCCAGTCACGGGGAGGGTGTGTGTGATCCCTCAGAGCTGTCGCAACAGGGAGCAGCCCCGTGACTGGAGGTCAGAGGACAGACACGTGTCCAAATACAGCAACACAAAGTATTTCCTAAGGAAGGAGGGGCAGGGGAGTTTCCAGCTGATTTTTCTGAAAGCCCTTGGTTTGCTGCCAGGCTTCTGCAAGGGATTTAAAACACACCTTTGCTCTTGCACACGTCTCAAGCGAGTGATGCTGAAACGGGAGGAATTCTGTTCAGGGAACTCAGTTCAACTTGCAAGCAGGCTGAGCTTTTTATAGGAAAAGAGAGAGGAGTGTGGTTTCCTCCGGACTTGCTCTGTGAGTCACACATTACATGACACAGCATTCCTCTTGGGAATCTTAATTGCTGGAGCTGATGAGCACATCAGCACTCTGGAATCTCCTCTTGTGTCATCAAACACACCTAAACACTTAACTTCCAGAAGTGCCAGGTTATTTTGATAATACTTCACAGATTTCAAACTCAACTGTTAAACGGGTTTTAGTATCCATCAGAACCCCATTAAAGTCAATTTAATGGCTTTTTTTTTTTCTTAAGTTCCAAAGCGACTGTCCATTAACAACCTTGCATTTAAGAAGTTGTAATGCTGTTATAGAGGTGAAATAATAATAATTACTATATGTAGTAGTAAATAATCATGTTATTTTTCAGTAGGAAAGATGATATTTTGGGGGTATCCACTGCGTGCTTTTTTTATTTTTCCCCTGGTGGGTATTTTTAAGTCTTGAATAAAAAGGGCTTCATTGCCCATGGCAGGGGATTGGAACGAGATGGTCTTTAAGGTCCCTTCCAACCCAAACTGTTCTGGAATTCTGTGATTCTGTGACTTCTGTACCATAAAGCAAATATGCTTAAAGGTCTCTGCCAGAGCTGTTTAAAACTTAACAGTGTCCTCGATTTACACTTCTTTACAAAGACATTTCAGCTCAAGAAAATTGGCTTAAAAACTCAGCTTGCAGCTGGAAGGAATAATAATCTTGGTATAAATAATAAGCAAGGAGATCTGTTTCCTTTAAGTGAGCAGGTAGTCACTTTGTGGTTAAGGCTAAATTGCTTCTCCCTGAAGAGAATTTGTCACAGGTTGGACTCGATGGTCCTGGAGGTCTTTTCCAACCTGAATGTTTGTGATTCTGTAATCATGAGTAGTTTTTTACTGCTTGCACTAGACTTTACTTGCCACCTTTAGTGCTGAATTCCATCTGCTAATGTACAGTTTCTTTACTGATGGGTAGGGAAAAAGTGGGCTCAGTATAATCTGACTTTTTGTGATGTTTAGGTAGATTTTAAGCTGTCCAGGCAAGGACAGCCTTTCCCCAGCAAGGCTTTTGGAGGGATGCTCTCTTGCCACTGCCTGAACGATAAGAAACATCAGTGCTGGAGCTTGGTAGTAGCTCTGTTTCTCTTCAATGCCAATAATCAACCCCAAATCTGGTGTTGTGTCACATTGCTCATGTCGTGGTCATGAAAGGAGCAAACAGATCAACACTTGGTGACCATCCCTCTTGTCCAGGGGTTTTTGTGGTGATTGTCCCTCTCTTGTTGAAGCACAGTGTGGGAAGGTGGAGATGAAACAGAGCAACAGCCACTGAAGTGAGAGCAGTACTCCCAGATATTCAGTCCTATAGAAAGAAAATGATGTCAGCAGCTCAGGCTGTCCTCTGTTTCAGCCCTTAGGCTAAATATGTGCTGGCTGAATTGTGTAGGAGGAAAGAAAAACCCACCTCTTTGCACACCCTGTGGAAGAGTTCATTGTGTTTCTGTTTGTTTAGGGCTTTACAGGGTGTTATGTTGTATCTGTCTGGACACATGCAGCATGTAAATGCACCGTGGTTGAGAAGGTGTTCCCCAAACTTGCTTTTAATTACCCGTAATACTCGTCAAACTGTCCTCTGTTCTCCCTTCTGGCCCCACCTGACTCGTGGGAAAACAGGGCCGGCTTTGTTACGTGCCTTGAGGTCACTGAACTCACACAGTCTCGGAGCAAGGGGGGGGAATATTGCCGAGATAAGATCTGCTGGAGTAACAAAAGAGCGTTTCTGTCAAGTATGAACTCAGTCATTGTCAGAAGTGAGTTATTAAGTTGACCTCTGTGCTTACCAGGTGCCTTCTGCTGTCCCGTGATGTGTGTGATGCCCCAAAGTAGACACTGCATAGTGAGGAATCCACGGCCTGTAGTGTCTTTTCCAATTAATCCTTCGATTCGTCATATCTGCCCTCAGTGGGAGGGGTTTACAGAATTGGCACTGATAGAATTACACCTCAGAAATCTTTAGGTAATGAGTAATCACCAGTTTTATTCCAGAATCCCTCCTGGAGAGCAGGGCGAGGTCAGGCAGATGCATCTGTTGAGTGTTGCCAGGCTCAATTACTAAAAGACTTCTGGAGAAAGGGAGCTTACTGATGGCTCATACACACTTCCCGTCTCTCCTTAGATTTTAAATAAAAGGGGCCGAGTTGGACTTGACTATGGGCCATTTTTAGGCTTCTGGACTTTATGGAGGAGCTGATGGTGAACACGTTGCGTTGGATAACTGTCTGTCCCCCTGTGTTAGGAACAAGGACGTGGATCTATTAAGAAACCCCAAAAAAACCTCCTTAAAAATCCTTGCTTTCTGTGTGACAAGAGGAGCGTGGAAGGATTTCTGTGCGAGGCTTCTGAAAATACTTTTTCCACCCTGCGTTTCTTCGATGTGGCTCTGCAGATTCCTCGGTATTCCTGGCAACAGGCTCCCTCCTCTCTTGGGATGGAGTTCAGAAAATCTGATGCTGCTATTTGTTTGTGCTGGTGCCTGGTTTTATTTTTTTTTTTCCACATGATTTCATCTGTGGAGTGGGATCAGGCTGCTCCCCACACCTCTGACTTCACTCCTGGACAGGATCTGTGTTGTGTACAGCGGCCAGCAGGCTCTGTACAGTCCTTGCTCCCATGTGAGCTGCTGGAAGACACCCTGCCAGTGCTGCTCATCCCATCAGTCTTTCCAACGTGGGACTCAGTCTGCTCTGTGTTGTGGTTTTGTCCTAAATTACACGAAGTCCCTGCTGTCCCAAGGCAGGGGCCAGCAGATATCCTCTGCTCCCTCCCATATTCCCTGGGATGCTCGGCACCGTCCTCTCCTGCTGTTGTATCTGTGTGCAGGACATGCTGGCTGCCTCAGCCCTCTGTGCTTCCAGCCCGTGCTGTGTTTTTTGGGATAGGAGCTGGATACTGGTGATGCTGCTGGTGACAGCAGTGGGATGTAGCCAAAAACTTGGTTGGAAGCTCAGGGAAATTCGTTGGTTTTCTTTTAGTGTGGTGAAATACAACCTTTTTTTTTTTTTTTTCCTCTGTTGTCGTGGAGGATTTTTTGGGTTTAGGGTAGGACTTAACATCTGGTATTTATATATATTAGGAAAACGAATCCTTCCTCCCTGCCCTGACACTTTCAGCTTCACAGTGTCATCCTGAGCCTTTCAAAAGCAGCACTGATTCGAGGCGTTCCTTGCGCACGTTAGGGACTGACAGACCTGAATTTATAGGATAAATCTCCCCCCGTTTTGGGGTGTTAGTTGCTGGTAGAACCCAGTGCTGCTGGGAGGTGTTGCACCAGCTGGAAACTGCAGCCCTGTGGCCGTGCTGGCCCTCCCAGCCTCCTCCTCCTCCTCCTGCTGCTGCTGCTGCTGCTGTCCCTGCTGACGCACAGGGGTGATGGCCAAGGGGGGAGTTCTCTCCGTGCACCGCTCACCTCTCCCGCTTTCCCTTTCCAGGCGCTTCCCGGCGAGCAGCGGGGAGAGAAGCTCTGAGGAAGCCCGGCCACGGGAAAGTGGAAAGTCAACTTTTAATGTTTTAATGTGAAGGAAATTGAGCGAGCTCCTCGGGTGAGATCCCGGGCTCTGGGACGCTTCGGCTCCAAGAGGCTTCTCCTTGTCTCCCTCTCGTCCCGCCGGGAGCGCCGTGTCTGGCTGGCAGCTGGGAACAGGAGAAGTTGGCTGCTGTTTTCTGCCGCCTGATTTCCACCAGTGAGTAGCTCTCCGGTCTGGATGATCCCGTTTTAGTTAAAAGGCGTGTTCGGCTGCTGCTGGAGGGCTGGGGGCTGTGTTTTGGGAGCAGAAAGACTTGGATACAGTAAGATCTACAAAGTGGCTTTTGGGGACTCTTGGTTGGGTGTTTTTGTTTTTTTTTCTTAAAGTGACAGTTAAGCTTGTGGTTTGCCTCTTGTTTGCTGCTTGGGTTTAGTCTTAGTTTTTAGTTATGCTTGGGTTTTTTTTTAAAACTGGGACAGCAGTGAGCATCCCCGTGTTGTCCCCCTGAATTGTGTTCAGAGTCAGGCAGTGAGGGTTTATGAAACAGTAAGAGCAAGAAGGTGTTTTAGACTTTCTGTGAGGTTTTATAGCAGCTGTACTGAGGCAGTGCCATGTGACTGTGCCTGCCCTGTGTGTCACCTGCTGCCCAAAAACCTGAATGCTTTGGTTCTAGAGGAGGGTGGCCCTGGGTGTGGAGAAGAGCCCAGCGAGTCACGGGGAAACCACAGAAATCCTCTTGGTGAGCTGAAGGTGCTGCAGCAAGAGGGAACAGCACTTTATCCCCAAGCTGTGCCTTGGATATGCAGCAGTCTTTGCATGGGCTGTGATCCTATTTGTGTGTTTCGGGCACAGCCGCCTTTCCTTCTCATCCTAAACCTCTTTGGAACACAATGCTTTAATCTGGAAGCTTTCTAATAGATTTATAGTGATGAGGAACTAAACAAACTGCCTGCAGTAGCTCATCTTTGTGTGTATTTTTGACACGTATATTTGTGTATATGCACACGCACGAGAGCTACTCCAGGCGTTGGTTTTCAGTCTGTGTGTGTGTATATGGGCATGTGTGTCTATAAAAAAATGGTTTTGTAAAGCAGGATGGGGTGAGCAAGCTTAGAGGAGGATGAATTTCTTCCTGCTCTGCCTCCTTCATTTGTGAGTTGATTTGGTTACGCAGACAAAGGCAGGAAAGCAAACCATAACAAAACCTCTCTTATCCAAACTAATCTGCTTACAGCACCGTCAGGTAAATCATTAACCCACGGGCCCGGGTGCTTGGAAAAGCTGCTAAAGAGGTTTCTTGCCCCTGAAACTCCTGTTTTCCAGGAGGTAAGAAGTGAAATTACTTGCAGGTCTTGGTTTCGTGTGTGGGTGTTTGCTGCTGCTCTGGTTTCTGTACTGGTTAATAAAGTCGTGTTGTCCGGTGGATTAATGATGGGAGAGGACTTACTCCCTGTGTTATTTTTCCTGAGAGAGCAGCTCCAGCTAAGGCAAAGGGGAAACACGGCATTTACTTACCTGTAAATACTGTAACTCATTAATGAAACTTCATTTTAAATGGATTTATGGCTGATAGAGTATTTTACTCCACAGCTTTGTTTCCTTGGATCCTGTGATTCAAATCTGACGTGGGAAGGTTTGCTATGGGTCTCGCTGTGCTCAGTTCCACACCAGCCTTCTGTTTTGGCTGACTTTTGTTTCTGTAGGCACATAAGAAATGGATTTCCCTGTGGTATTTGAGTACTTCGAGTCTGTAGAGTCCTGTCTGCGTTCATTTTGCTCTTTGATCGATCGTGTTTGCAGTGAGTCTACTCCATGCAAGTAACTTGAACTATAGAAAATATGTAGCACATGGAGAACAGCAGAAGTAGCTTCATTTGTGATGTTTGCTGCCATTGCCTGAACAAAAGATAAAGGGCTCAAGAAGGGCTTAAGCTTGTTCTAGGTGCCCACATCCAGGAGCATGACTCAAAACTTCCAGCTGACCTCCGAGCTCCCTGAATCAGCGGTGCAGTTGTGCCTTGCCCTCCCCAAGCTCTGTCTGTTTAGGTGCCAAGCTCTCAGCCTGGCTGTCTTATCCAAAGGTCTGCCTGGTGTCCTACAAGACTTTCAGGCATCTCCTGATGGTCCTAATAAGACCTTTGAGAGCAGAGCTCAGAAAGCTGGACCTCACTTTAAAGCTGCTTGGTGCGGCTCCGCACGACTCAGCGCCCTGCACAGCCTGTGCCCCGTGTGCCCTGTGCTTTCCAGCCGCCTGGGAAAGCTCCAAACTGCTCTTGCTGCTCAGGAAAGTGCCCTTTTTGCTTGGTTAACTTTACAGCCTGGCTGCACATTAGCTTTTTAAAGCTGAGCTTTTTAAAGCTGTTCTACCACGTGAGGGTCTGCCGTGTGTCTGGGTTACACCTCATACCAAGTCCTTGGGGGAGGAGATATCCAGACCTGGAGGAGAAGGTGAATCCGGACCTTTCCCCAAGAGGTGTGAGTTCGTGGAAGCAGGTCTCTGCCCTGGGGACACCCCAGCAAGTGCTCTCAAGTGCTGTTTCAGGTGGTAAATGCTGGCTTGCAGAAGGCAGGGTGGTCCCTCCTTCTCTGGCCTGAGCAGCCAAGCCCACGCTCTGAATCTTTGTTTAAGCCTCTCTCCTTTGAGATTTTAGGGACAAGACATGCTGATTGGGATCTCAGCCAGTTTAGTTGAGCCAGGAGAGCGATGGGCCTTTGGACAACCAGGTTGCCACACCATGTGTTCAGTAAGAGCTGTTGTGGCCACAGAGGACAGGGAGAAGGGAGACAGCCCCGTTCCCTCTCTGCTACCTTGGGAGTGTCTCTGCTCCCCCTGGTGCACTTACCTCTGGCCTGGGGATGACTTTTTGCCAGGAAAACTGGCCCGATGGAGCTCTCTGTCTCCAGCTGTCTGCATGGCAGAGAAGGTGGGGGGGGAGTGGCTCTGGTTGAAAATAGAAAGGCAGATTAGGAAATTCGAGGTATAGTTTCAACACACGGCCGAGCTGCTCTGACAACTCACTGCTGCCATCGAAAGGGGAAGGACTCGCTCCTGCCTGCATGCCTGCCGGCAGAAAACCAGGCAAAGAGCAGCTTTTCCACCCAGGCACAGGAGAGGAGGGTGGGGATATGAGACAGGAAGGAGGGGATGCCTCTGGGAAACTCTGCTGGCGCAGGTGACAGAGTCCAGGTGTGCTGGAGCTGAGTTCAGGTGAGCGGCGCGAAAGCTTCCCGTCGGAAAGGTCGGGCTTGAAATCCCAGCTGTGCTCAGCTGAGCTACTTCGGGTTAGCCCCCCCAAGCTAAGGACAAAGCCTTAAGGAGAATTACTTAGCTGCTTGAATTGTTCATGTTCATATTTTATGGGGAGAGTTCTACTTGGGGAAAAAAAACCCACAGCAAGTGCTGGGGGTGTAATGTCGCTTCCTGAATGCGAATGTGCTGCTCGGTTGTAACGTTACACTCTGATAAGAGACTTCATTTTGCAATAAGTGTGTGAAGTGTCAGGAGAAAGAGTCAACAGACAAGCCAAGGGTAAATATCTTGTGCTTTGGAAGCTGCGAGCTTTTTAAGTGTTGGGTTTAGGAAGTGGCCACTGTACAGTGTTTTGTCAGCAGCTCTTCCGAGTTTATCACTATTCCTTGTGCTTATCGCTGGTCCTTGTAACTTTGGATGTATTTTCTGTTGCCTTCCCTAAAATAAGGACTAAATCCAGTTAGGAAAACCATTCTTTTCTTTGCTGAAGTGTTTCTTTCCGGCTGCCCTTTTTTTTTTTGTCTTTGTTTTTGAGAGTTTCAGTTCTTTTTTATTTGCTTTCTCTTTTGTTTTTAACACTTTGTCAGCCTCCAGAGCAGTGTGAGTTGACTTCTGCTCCTGTTGTTGTAGCACTCCCAGCCACATACCAATAAACAGTGATCCATCCTGTTCAGTGTTTGGAAAGAAATATCCAGGGGGATTTCAGATATCCTGGATCTATCATCAGCATAACTAAAGAACATTGAGCTATGTAATATTTAGTTCAGAAAACCTGTAACAGCACTTTTCCTGGGCAGATAACCTGAAGACAAACAGCACTTATTCTTTTCAAGGGGCTGTGGATATAAGCTATAGATAAAAGCCTATCTGGAGTTCAGTGGAATTTAGTATCAGGTCAAGTTTTACCTTTACCTGGAATGAATCTGTCTTTTAAAAGTGAGCTTAAGAATTGAAGTTACTCTTTGAGCCTCTAGACAAGAATCCTGAAGACAAGCAGGCGGTTTTACTCAGTTTAGTTTCAAAATGCTTCAGCATGATTTCTCGTGGATTACTGGGCTGCTTTTCATAACCAGGAATAAAAATTCATTGGTCCCAGTGATATATATATATATATATATATATTAAAAAAACACTGTTTCATTGGTCCCAGTGATAAATACTGTTTTCTTGTAAATTTGAGATCAACTTCAGCAGTCAAGCAGATTTTTCACAAAGAAGAATGGATGTGGACTGTTACAGTTTATTAACTTTTTGAAGCCAAGAAACTGAACCCAGTTGACTCCAATTTATTTGTATTGGAGAAGCTGATGCTTTGGGATTGTTGATTTACCAAGCATCAGAGATGAGGGGGATTTAGTAGGAAGGCAATCAGCTAGTGAGTTTTGGTGCAACTTTGATTTCAGTTTCTTAGACTTCCCAGCCCTTTGGGTTTCTTCCTTATTGTTTCTAACTCCTTTGGTGTTTTGAAATTTTCCCTTTTAATCTCAGCCACCTGCTTTGCTTTGGGGACACTGGTTTGTCTGTTTTAAACTGGTCACACCCCACCTAAATCCTGGCATTGTTCAGCTCTCCTTAACGTGTTTGGACGTTGTACGTAAGTTTAAAGCAACAAATAAGAACAACCCCAGGCACCAGCACTGCTGGAGAAGGACCTGGGGGTCCTGGTGGGCAGCCAGCTGTCCCTGCCCAGCCGTGTGTCCTGGGGACAGGGAGGGCAGTGGGATCCTGGGGGGCACCAGGGCAGGGAGGGGATCCTGCCCCTCTGCCCAGCCCTGGGCAGGCACATCTGCAGGGCTGGGCCCAGCTCGGGCTCCTCAGCACAGCAGGGCCAGGGAGCTCCTGCAGCGGGGCCAGCGCAGGAGATGCCCAAGGGATGGAGCAGCTCTGGGAGCAGCAAAGGCTGAGGGAGCTGGGGCTGTTCAGCCTCCAGAGCAGAGCCTGAGAGGGGCCCTCAGCCAGGTCTGGAGGGGCTGCAGGGAGGGGGCAGAGGATGGAGCAGGCTCTGCTCGGGGGGGCCCAGCAATGGCACAAGAGGAACGGGCAGGAACTGATGGCCAGGAAGTTCCAGCTGGACAGGAGGAAGAACTTGTTGGCTGGGCAGTGACCCAGCCCTGAACAGATTGTCTAAAGTGTGTGAAGTCTCCTCCCTGGGATATTCCAGCCTCATCTGGACACACTCCTGTGCCCTGTGCTCTGGGCTGGCCCTGCTGGAGCAGGGAGGTGGCACCAGATCCCCACTGTGGTCCTTTCCAGCCTGACCCAGTCTGGGTTTCTGTGATGTGACCTGGGCAAGCCTTGAGAAGCTTGAATTTGTGTTAGTACAGTTGCAGAGAGGGAGTGGAGGGGGGCTTCAGGTGGTGAGGGCATCTCTAGTCCTGGGAAACTTGAAGCTGTAAGAGGTGAATTCCTGTTGCAAAAGCCAAATGAGAAATGAAAACAACTTTCTGGTGTGTAGGTTTGTCTCTGTGGTTCTCCTTGCAGTTTCAGGAAACAGAAGTGGTGCAACTATTTGCTGGGAACAGAGGAGTGGAGAAGCAGTGGGAACAGGATTTTAGGGGAGTGAAGAAGCCCTCCTAGGGAGGTCAGAGTGAACCCTCATAGCCCAGCAGAACAGTTTGATTTCTGAGCCACTCAGTTTACATCACCAACTCTCTGCCAAACCATATATATTTGAAATGATAGCAGTGTAACCATCTGGCAAAGGGTCTATTTGCAAACACTTTTCCCTGTGTGCGGTGGCCTGGCTTTTGCAAGTTGTGAGGGAAAGGTGGGAAAAGAATTGATCCAGTAATTCAGGGTTATTTAAGCTAAAAGCACTTGGGTACTGAATTAGATTTATCTGGGAGAAAAGTATCCCGGGCTCAGGCTTTTGTTAATGTTTAATGTTCTGTGACGCTCTGCCCAGGCATAATTGAGCCATCAGCACAGGAGTGATCCCGTCGGAGGGGTTTATTTTGAGTGATTGCAGAGCCCGCTGTGACTTTGATTTCACTGCAGCCTGAGCTAATTGATGAACAGGGCCATCATTTATTTGCAGTTCTCAGGATCCTTTTAGACTGATTCTCCTTCTTTTCAA